ATGTATATGTGATGGCAGACACCTCCCCTCCCCCCGATGGCACCCACCACAGGGGAGGTGAGGGAGATTCCTGGACCTGAGAGGGGCCCTAGGAGCACATGCAGTGACAGTGGTGGGGTGAGTGTGCTGCCGGGGCGGACAGGGGGGGCCCCTACCGCAGAGCTCGCTGCTGCCGGTGGGGAGAGGTCTGGGGCGAGTCCTCCTCTCTGGCTCCAGTCCCAGGGCAGCCTGCCTGCACCCCAAACTCTTCCCCAGCCCTGCCCCACCCCAGAGCCCATACCCCCTGTCAGAGCCCTCATCCCCCCATACCCCAACCCTCTGCCCTAGCCCCAGGGCCGGTGCAAGGATATTTTGCACCCTAGGCGAAACTTTCACCTTGCGCCCCCCTCCCCTCCCCCTGGAGCATCGCTTATTATAAACTTTCAAAAATGAATACTGCATAATGTGGCATTGCTCATTAGAATTAATACACGTTTGGCTTGAAAATGTATTAATTCCATCATTTAGTCTCCATATTTAATGAAAATAAATGAATAACGTGACAGTGTTGACATTGCTATTGTTTTCACTTTGCACAACATAGCATGGATCTTAAAATAAATCACATACATTATGCACAATACACTATCACAGAGTAACACGTTCTAATTTAGAATTTATTTTTCCGCGCTCTCAGTTTAGCAAATTTAGAAACAAGTTCCTCCAAGTCAATGCTGCGAGCAATGTCATGTTCTATTGACAAAGGAGATAGTCCAACAAGTCTTTGTTGCAACACTGATGTTCGCATGTATGTTTTTATCAATTTGAGCTTCAAGAAGCTTCGCTTACCACTGGCCACAGAAACTGGAAGAGTCAAGAGGATGTGAAGAGCAATAACTGTGTTGGGGGCACTATCTGTCAGCTTATTTTTCCATATTAAGTTCAATACATCTTGCCGTGATGCACTCTTTTGGACTCGTCTTGCAATAACTTGCAATTCATTGCACAAGTCAAAGGAATCAATATCTTTGGATTCACCATGTGCAAAGCTTGCTCCAGATTCAAGTAATGTTCCATAATTTGCTTCGGTGTTGTATTTTGCAAACTGTAAACATCATATAGGAAGCCAAATACTAAAGTAATTTGCTGCATCAATGTGAATCTTTCTTCAAACGAATGTATTGCTGTGTCGATGGCTGCAAAGTAAAAGTTCACTTTGAATTTTTCTTTTGGATTATAAATAGGTTCGTCATCTGCTTCATATGTGAACTGCTTCCTCTTTTTTCTAATATGGATTGGATCTTGTTCAAAAAGTGTCGGTACATCCAACTCCCCCACAAGTTCACCTGCATCTACCAATGTTTTCTCAAAGTCTGCGTCACTTCTGCGGCCCACAAGAAACTTCTAGGTTTCTCCAAGTTGATTAATGACTTCACGTATGTCGAATTCTTTCTCCTGAAGTTGTTTGCTCATCATGTTGATCTCAAACAATATGTCATACCACATAACAAGAGAAACAAGAAACTTGAAACTAGAAATGGCTTTTGCAAGATCCTTTGCTTCAACTCGTGACGTATTGCCAGATGATCCTGTTAGAGTAGTGTCATCATAGATCCCTGTCAGAGCATCATAGATGTCACCAAGCTGATAGCAAAGAGGTTTCAAGGCATCAATTTGATTTTCCCATCTTATTTCACTCCATGGTTTAACTGTGAGATTAAGTAGGTGGTGTGCTAGAACTTCCCAGCCACGTGTAGAAGCTGAGAAATACACGTAAACATGTTGAACTAAATCAAAGAAGGCTGTTGCCTCCAAGCAACACTTTGCAACATCATTAACAACCAAATTCAATGTGTCTGTATTCGCACTGTCAGTCTTGGCAAGACCATCCTGGGATGGATGGAGAGACTCAGCTAGGAAGTACTGCAGGTCCCTGCTTGCCCTACACTCCTCGCCCTCTCCAATACCGCATAGTTGGAGCCAATCAATCGCTATTTGCATTTGAAGCCATTAGTGCTGCTCTACATTTCCCTTTAGCCATGGTCTCTATTTGGGGCACAGTGTCTCTCTGGCTTTGTTCCTTTCTCCCCTCCTGAGTCCCAGTTTGCAGAAAGCCCCAGCCCAGGGCTCCGACTGTTCCCCCGCTGACAGAGGCTGGGGCAGAGGGAGGGGCACTGGGGCAGCTCAGCTCTGTGGGCTGCCATCCTCTCCAGCTGCCCGTGCACGAGGGGAGCGTGGACCAGCAGGTGCCTGAGCTGTGGGGAAGCGCTTACCTTGGCCAACGCACCAGCGTCCTCTTCCTCCGCTGGGTCCCCGCGCGAGGGTCTTTTGTTCTTGGGCGGCAGGTGGGGGGTGTGAGTGAACGCGCTCTCCATGTCCCCCGCTGCGGCTGAGCATGGAGGCTGAGCCAAGGCAGCCGCCCGTTTCCTTGCCAAGCCCTGCTGCTGCCTGGCTCGCTTTTTGGCAACCCCAAATCTTGGCACCCTAGGCGGCCGCCTAGTTCGCCTAGTGGTTACACTGGCCCTGCCTAGCCCTGAGACTCCCCAACACCCCAAACCCCCCATCTCCAGCCCCAGCCAGAGCCCTCATCCCCCCCACATCATAACCCACTGCCTCAGCCCTGAGCCCCCTCCCACCCCAAACCCCTCATCCCCAGCCTCACCCCACAGCTCTCACCCCTGCACCCCCTCCCTCCGCACCCTCTCCCATCCCCAAACTCCCTCCCAGAGCCTGCACCCTGCACCCCTCTTGCACCCCAATCCCGTACCCCAGCCCAGGGCCTGTACCCCAGACCTCCTCCCCAACCCAAACTCCCTCCCAGAGCCTTGGGCAGGTGGGGGGTGGAGTTGGGGGGGGGGCAGAGTTTGAGCAGGGGCAGGTTCTGGGCACCACCAAATTTTTACAAACCTGCCACCCCTGCCGGCAAGAGCCAGTGTGCCGTACCGGGACGGACCAGCTTCTCTAGACTGTAATTTAAAGGGTCTGGGGCTCCCAGCAGCAGCTGAGTCCCGGGCCCTTTAAATTGCCACCAGAGCCCCACTGCTGGAGCCCTGGGGTAGGGGCGGCAGGGCTCAGATGGCAATTTAAAGGGCCCAGGCTCCTGCCGCTGCTACAGCTCCGGCCCCTTTAAATCACTGCTGTAGCCCCACTGCCACTACCCCAGGGCTCCGGGGTCGATTTAAAGGGCCTGGGGCAGTAGGGGCAGTGGGAGCCCCGGGCCCTTTAAATAGCCCCTGGAGCCTGCCGGAGTCCTGAGGTAGTGGCAGCAGGTCTCTGGCGGCTATTTAAAGAGTCCAGGGCTCCCACTGCCTCTACCGCCCCCGGGCCCTTTAAATAGCCGCCAGAGCCCCAGGCTCCAGCAGCACCGCTTCGGGGACGATTTAAAGGGCTGTGGACGGTAGCGGCAGCCGGAGCCCTGGGCCTTGCTGCTGGACCCCCAGGGCTCCGTTGTGGTAGCGGCAGCTGGAGCCCCCGGGCCCTTTAAATCGCCCCCGAGCCCCAGGGCTCCCAGCCACCTCTGCAGCTGAGAGCTCAGGGGGTGATTTAAAGGGCCTTGGGCTCCCAGCTGCTGCTACCACCCCTCTAGCCCCAGGCCTTTAAATCCTGATTTAAAGGGCCTGGGGATTTAAAGGCCCCGCCCCTTCTGGTTGAGGCCCCGCCCCCTCCTCAGGGCTCCAGAGTCCTGGCAAGTCCTTTAAGTTACTTTCACCCCTGCGGAGTTAAGTCGGCGTAGCAGGGCAGTTACAATGGCAGGAGCGAAATTTAAGTGTAGACACTTCCATGGTTATGTCAACTTAAGCTGCTTTGTGTCAACCAGATCTGAGAGAGACAACCTGAAAGCACTGTGTTAGCTGGGTTAGCTGAAAGCACTCTGGCTGACACCGGAAGAAACCTGGGAAGAGGTTTTAGGGTTGGGTTTCAGGCTGAAAAGTGTGTTCTTGGTTCTGTGAGTAGGCTTGGCAGAATTTTTTTTTTAAATAATTTTGAAGGATAATATCGGTTTAGTTTAAAGCATTTTTTACTTGATTTTAAATTTTCACAGTTGTACAAAGATATGGGGGAGTTGGACAATAATTATTTAATGACAGTCGGCATTGAGATTCAAAAAGTTAAAGCTTTAAAACCATTAAAACACGAGTTATCAACATTACATGTCAAAATATACAAAATAAATATCCTGAAATCAAACTCTAATAAGGTCTCAAGCAGAATTTTTCTTTGGCTATCTGTAAATTTCTATGATGATCTATGGAAATATTTTTTTCAGCATTTGTATATGTATGGTGAAATTGATGTGTATTGACATTTACCTATAAAAATCTCATCATTCCCGTCCTAATTGTGAAGAAAAAAAATCTGTTTCCTCATATTGTTTCCTCCTGTATTCAGAGACACAGGACTTTGTACATTCTTCAAAAAGAAATAAAACTGCATCAAAGTAATACATATCCCCAATTTCTACATCCAACTGGACCCCCCCCAAATCTGACAAGCTGTTCAAGTCAAAAAGGGGCAACAATACAGTGGAGTGGAAGCACAAAGAAAATTACTAATATTAATACTTGTAGTTCTGCAAACATACATTTAATATCCAGTGTTTAAAAGCTATATTTTGTTTCAAATTAAAATGTTAAATCTATTAATAATATTAATTATTAACATTTATATTGTGGTAACAACAGAGGCCATGATCAGGATATCTTGAGAGGAAATTCAAGCAGTCTGGCTAATATTCAGGGCATTAATTCTGTAGCAATGTCCTGTATTTACCAATTAACATACCATCAATCATTTTCTAAAATTAGCCTATTTTTAAAAAAAATTTCAGTTGATAACATAAGTGACCAACTTGGGTTACTGGCCTGAGGCAAGCCGTAAACTGTCATCTCTTCCTAGCTAGTCAATTCCAAGGAAATGCCTTGCAACTCAATTTTTGTTCCTTAATTGATGGTGTAATATTTTGTCTTGAGAAACCAAACCTCCATTAAAAGCTATAAAGTAACTGATGTAATTTTTTGCAGGGTCGTTGTACAAGAGAGAACTGCAAGTATCTTCATCCACCAACACATTTAAAAACTCAATTAGAAATTAATGGCAGGAACAACTTAATCCAACAGAAAACTGCAGCAGCAATGCTTGCCCAGCAGATGCAGTTCATGTTTCCAGGATCACCAATTCAGCCAATGGTAAGTATCCTTTTTCAAATGATGTGGTGGGTAACTAAAGCTCAGTTGTGAGATTGGGTTGACCTGAAAATGGCCTCTAAACACCTTACTACTTTCTTTGTCAATGAAAATAAATTGCTATTTAGAGACTGTGTGAAATACAGAAATGCTGGAAAACATACTCAAATTTAAATGTGTGTGCTGAGGTGTTATCATAGATGTGGCACATCCCCCTCCCTATCTCAGCCTCTCCTCCCTCCCTCACCCTCCTCCTCCCCTCCCCCCCCCACACTTTCTTTCTCTCAGGTTTTGAGACCCAGCTACCTTGGGTTAGCTTTGCAAGGGCTTTGTGCAAGATCCCCGCTTGAGTGGAAAGAGTTACAAGAACAATAACCATTTGAGTAGGATTGCAGTGTCTTCTTTCCCAGCTTCTGTGAGCTGAATAATTTTTAATAAATCTTTCATCTCAGATTGTTTCTTTATTCCCTTCCAGAACGGAACAAGTGATCATGTGTTCATGGGTTGTGCTTGCTTCCTAGCTTGAAGTCTGAAGTGCCCCAGAATGACATAGACAAAGAGAAAAGATGATATGGGACTTCACAAGCTTCAAAAGTTCCATCTTTTGAAATCATACGTAAAACAGTTTGGGGCATTTCCTGCAAATCCAGATACAAAGCAAGCATCTTGCAGCCATGAACACCAACTTGGTATAAATGATATGGGTATATGTATAAATGATCAGTCCTATTGTACTGTTCAAACAGGTCAGGGCCACCTTTGTAACAAACAATAAAGATTAGAGGTGAGTGGGCACTACTCCTTTATCTCAAGTGCATTGTGACCCAGTGGGAACACTTAGGGTCAAAGCCAGCTTTCATTGACTTCATATGGGAGTTGAATCAGACGTGTGTGTGTATATGTATCACGCACGTGTGAGAGAGGAGACAATATGAGGGGAGCAGGGAGAGTGGACAGCAGGGAGGGTCACTGAGGGGACAGGGAAATGTAATAGGACAGGCAGAGAGATCTTGTGGTGCAAGAAAATGAAGCCTTGTTTATATTAGTATGTTTGGTTTTCCCAGTAGACCAGTCACTTATGCCCAGTCAGTTGCATCCTAGATCTCTCACCAAAGACAACGCTTGTAGCCAATCCTATAATAAACTGTCTAAGGATTTATTAGCTAGGAAAAAGAAATGAGTTATTTATAAGGTTAAAGCAGGTAAACGTGCACGCACAAACTAGTTACAGTCTTATGTTCCGAAAGGGTAATAGAAGCTGCTGTAATATGCAAGGTGTATATATATATGTACTTTAGGGCTAACCCAGGCCAAGGCCAGGGGAACTCTTGCTTATGCTTAGAAATCTTCGCCCCTTACAGATCAAGCAGCTTAGAGGTACAGTTCTTTCTTATGAGTGATTTTTATTCCCTTCCCCCCAGAGTTCAAGTTGATGGAACAAGTCCACCTGCACGTCTTCTCTACATAGGTGTTGGGAGGAGCAATCGACAGAGTTCTTGTTCTTCGATGTTTCACAATGGCTCATTTAGTTTCAGTGGGCCTTCTTGCTGGGCCAGACCTAACACCTTCTGTAGGAAGCCAGCATTTCTACATTAATTAATGTTCCTTTCCTATTTGATGACTTACACAATTACAGAGGATTACCATGCAAACACCTACTATAACCTTGTACAGTAAAAGCTGTTTTATCTGGCATGTTGGAGAATGGGGGGTGCTGGTAAGTGAAAAATGCCGATTAACTAAGAGGGAGGGAGGTTGGGTGCGGGAGGGGGTTCGGGGCTGGGGCAAGGGAGGAGTTGCAGGGTGCAGGCTCTGGGATGGAGTTTGGGTGTGGGAGAGGGGTCGGGGCAGTGGGTTGGAGCGCGGGAGGGGGCTTGGGGTGCCGGATCCAGGGGCGTTCATCTCGGGCGGCTCCCTGCAAGTGGCAATCTGTCCTGGCTGCTTCTAGGCGGAGGCGTGGGTAGGCCACTCTGCATGCTGCCTCCGCCCGCAGGTACCGCCCCCGCAGCTCCCATTGGCATCCCAAGCCCCTTCCTGTACCCAAACTCTCTCCCAGTGCCCACGCTCCGTACCCTCTCCCGTGCCCCAACCCCCTGCCAGACATGCGCCAACCGGACTATAAACTGGAATTTCTATGAAGATCAGAAATGCAGTTTGTAGAGCTTTCCAGTTGGTGAAGTGCCAGATAAAACAGCTTTTACTGTAACATGGGGTACAGATGTTAAAAGTGAGATGAATATACAAAGCATCCTACAAGTATTCCATCTAGTCTAAACACATTCTTATAAATCTAATACCTGTTTTAACAATATTAACCCACAGATGAGCCAGTTTGGTTTCCAGCTATGCATTTGTCAGTGTTCAGTGAGTGCTAGGGGTCTGGGCGTGAGCTGGCACCTGCTCTGCCAGCATCACAGTAACAATATAAAAATGCTAAGTATTCTGAAAAATCAGGCCCTAAGTCTGTCAGGGTAGGCACCCAAAATTAGTGGATTCTTCTGCACATTATGGTTTTAATTTCTCCATGCTCAATCTGTAAAATGGGGATAATAATAATTTTCTTTCTCACAGAAGAGGTGTGAAGATATATTCATTAATGTTAGTGAGGTGCCCAAGTATCACAGACATGAGCACCATTAAAAAGTCCATGAATCAATTAACAATTCTTTATTTCAGTGCATGGTTTGGACGGTGCATAATAAATAAGGCCTAGGGGCTACACACGGAATGATGAGGAAATTTTGAACAGCTACCTCATTCCTGAGCATTGTCCATCCTGTGCCTTGAATGAGGCAGGGGTAATATGGTAGAAATAGTATGTGATTGTATAATTAAAGTATGTATCATACTGCATATGCACTAGGCAGAATAAACAATCTTAATTGACATTTCCTAACTGTTTTGTGTTTGACTTTGCAACTTTAATGTTCTTTTAAATTAGTGGGGATTTTGTATGTAATAGGATATTGGTTAAACTTGTCACTACTGTAAGCAAAGGAATCCCCTAAATTTCACATAGATGTTTCTTTCCTTTTCTCCACCGTATCAATACAATCATCATTCAAACTTTATTATTTCACCTACCAACAGGGAGTAAAAAGCAAGTTCTTTTTCTCTGTCTCAAACTGCTAGTGGGTTGTGGTAGATTATCACTGACGTAGCGGAATAAAAAGTATAAAAGAAATACATAAACATTCAATGAAGCTTGTAGGTTCTTCTTGAAATTATATCTAGTGCAAAGATTTTATTTTTTCTATTAAACATTGCGCTGCAATAGCATGTTTATAATAGCGATTGTGTGAAAAAACTGAGCATAGACCTGTTATAGCAAGAATCCTTTTTTTTCTTATAATTATTTCCTTATTTTGATTTACAGTTTATGGATAGTATTTAGCAAGGGTATGAGCACATTTTTTGATGGGCAGTGGAAAAAAAATTTTTTTTAAGTGTTAACTCTTTGCATGAGTGATAACTAGATGATCTTTTCCTGCAGCTGGGTACACTGGTTGGTTCTTCTGCTGCTCTCAACATCTTCTTGGGGACTACGCTGGATTCATTCTTGACAAGCAGCTTTCTCCAAAACCCCTTTGAGTCCTACTCTTTCCCCTAAGGCTGTTTCATAAGTGTTGATGGCTAGCTTCCCCTTCTAATAGAGCCTATAGAGGCCAACATGAAGAGAAAGATATGTCTGCCTCTTTACATTTTCTAAATGTCTCTTCAGAGCTCTGCTACATCTTGGCATTTTCTAGTTGCCAGTTTATTTTGGAGCTTTACTTTTAGTCCTACATAACAGACCCTGCATTTCTCACCTGGCAAGTGTTGCATAGCGTGGTTCAGGAACCTGATAGAGTACAGTAGTGAGTGCAGGTACAAACTATATCTCTGCAACTGCTCCAGTAGCATTAGTCCAGAGTCTACACTAGTCTGAGACGTGCTACATTTCCATGCACACTCTTTTCACATTATAATTATAGTTTGCCTCTAGCAAACATCGACACTGCAGGCCTACAAAAGACCTTTCCAGTCCTGACCATGGGACTGCATTGACTCCCCACCCTATGGAATATATGTTGGCAAATCTGCTATCCTGCTTCATCTGAACTGGATTTCTGCATCACAGAATTGCTTCTTCCTCTTGATACAGCTTCATTGCATTACATTGTTTTAAATGGTTGTGAAACATAATTTCAGACCCATATCATTCCCACCCCTCAAACGATTTTGATTGGCTAAGCTTAGAGAGACCAATCTCTCTACCACGACCTAAATATTGGGCCCAATAATAAATGTTCCATTTGCCACAGGTGGCAGTTGAATATAACATAAACATTGCACAGGCCAGTTTTTACATGTCATAGGCATACAGGGGTGAAAGTGAGCCGGTACTGCGTACCGGTAAGAACCCGCACCGGCCCATACCCAGCCCACATTAAAGCGCTGCCATGGCAGCACTTTAATGTCCCTGCCCCTTTTGCCTCCCCTGTCAGCGGCCCTGCTGGTAGGGTTCATACCGGCAGGGCCGCCGACGGGGTGGGGGGCGGTGGAGCAGCAACGTTAAAGCGCTGCTGCGGCAAAGGACCCTGCAGCACTTTAACGACTCTGCCCCTTTTGCCCGCCCTGGCTGCCGACAGGTGTGGGGGTGGGAGGGCGGCAAAGGGAGCAGCTGCCGTGGGGCCAGCGATTTAAAAGGGCCCGGGGCTCCAGATGCCGCTACCGCAGCAGCAGTGTCCAGAGCCCCGGGCCCTTTAAATCAACACGGGAGCCCCGGGCAGTGCAGGCCAGGCGGCATGGAAGGGCTGGTTGGGGGATGCTGACCCCCAGCCCCGCCCCTTCTGCCAGAGGCCTCGCCCCTTCCAGGGGCCGGAGCTGCCCCCGTACCGGTACGTGTCCTCAGTTACTTTCACCCTTGTAGGCACAGTAACTTAAATTGTATAGAAATACAAAATACGGCATGCAAGGTGGTAGATGTAACATGTGAAAGAGCTTATATAATGTATACTATTATTACAAAGATGGATTCAATATACTGAATAACATTTTACCTATAAAATTCAGTTTTACTAGGGAAGCAGATAGAAAGAGAAAGCAGTAGAAATAAGATGCACTTTATCTGAGATGTATAAATAAATTTGAAATGTAATATGAAGTGTAATCTCATTAGATATCCAGATTCAAATTATAGCTGACATGTGTAGATGCACTGAGAACTCCTTTTCTCATAATATGGCTGCAAAATGCTGTTCCTGTCCTTCACTGGAATGTATTACATCAGCGATTCTCAAACTTTCGCAACCCAAGAACCCCCATTTTGATTTTAAAAATTTTGCGCCCCCCCCCAAATGGCTTCTAATTTTCCCCGGGGATGCTCAACCCACACTCATCCTCAGGCCCTGCCCCCACTCCACCCCTTCCACAAAGGCCCCGTTCCCACCCCACTCTTCCCTCTCCAGCCCTGCCCCTCCTCTTCCCCACCTCTTTCCGCTCCCTCCCCTGAGCGTGCCCTGTCCCCGCTCCTCCCTCTCCCTCCCAGTGCCTCCTGCACGCCGCCGAACAGCTGTTCCACGGTGTGTAGGAGGAACTGGGAGGGAGAGGGAGGAGTTGATCAGTGGAGCCAGCAGCCCTGGACATGACTTGGGTCCGCAGACCCCAGTTCTAGAACCGCTGTATTCCATGTTTAAGAGAAGAAAATATGCAGTGTAATGTTGTCAACTCTTTTAAATTCTGATTAAGAAAATGAATCAAAACCAGGGAAAATGTACAAAAGACATCAAATAAGATCTGCAAACTTTTTAAAAAAATAGTTTCAATGTAAGGTAACCTATTTATTTTTCATCTCACTATGTTTTCATTTTGCAGCCCACATTTCCAGTAGGTCCAACAATAGGAACGAACACAGCTATTAGCTTTGCTCCTTACTTAACACCTGTAACCCCTGGAGTTGGGTTAGTTCCTACTGAAATCCTACCCACACCGCCTGTCATTGTTCCTGGAAGTCCCCCTGTCACAGTTCCTGGTTCGACTGCTACTCAGAAACTCTTGAGGACTGATAAACTGGAGGTACTACAGACACCATTGTGACTAGAAATGTAATTTTCTGCTAATTTATACGTGAAAGCTTTGAAAAGCTTTGTTGTCCTTAGAAGCGCTCTCTAATATAGCCTAATCTTTAGTTATTAAAATATAGATCTCATAAGTACTTTTGTAGGATTTACGCTTGTACTCGGTGGAAATGTTACCATTGTTTTAGTGTCGTCATTTTTTTTAATATGGTTTGGATAAAAATTCAGTGAATGTGTTCTAGAGTTGATTGCTCAAATTTAATATGCCTGATCAACATCAAAGGTAACAAAAGGGGTTGAGTTTTAAAATACAGCTCTGTCATTATGAGTTTCTTCATAGAGAAAGTAACTGGGGCCACAGGAGCGTTTAATTGACACCACTGAATAATATTCTTAAGGGTTTTATGTTGGTGAACAAGAATAGATTTTTTGAAATGACACAGTTCTATGTAAGTTCAACTTACTATCAAACAACACAGCTATATTAACTGCAACTTAATTAAGGGCAGGCAAACATATTTAACAAACATGTAAAGGACTGTTGCAAACACTTTGGGACAAGTCTAAAATACAATAAAGAATGAGCTGTGTATGTGGTTTTTTGTTTTGTTTTTCCCAGTTAATATTGCTGTGGGTCCATCAGCTGTAATTAGTATTGTTTTGCACATAGGTATGCAGGGAGTTCCAGCGAGGAAACTGTGCGCGGGGAGAGACTGACTGCCGCTTTGCACATCCTGCAGATAGCACAATGATTGACACAAATGACAACACTGTAACCGTTTGTATGGATTACATAAAGGGGCGTTGCATGAGGGAGAAATGCAAATATTTTCACCCTCCTGCACATTTGCAGGCCAAAATCAAAGCTGCTCAACATCAAGCCAACCAGGCTGCAGTGGCAGCTCAAGCAGCTGCTGCAGCTGCTACAGTGATGGTAAGTGCAAGACTATATGGTTAAATTTTTCATAAACTTATCAATTATTGTTTTTCTCCAATTAGAAGTGTTGTTTAAATTGTTGATTTTCACACATTCATCATAAAAGCTAGGAATTCTAAAAAGTATTACTTTCTTTAGGGCAGTGGTTCCCAAACTTGTTCCTCCGCTTGTGCAGGGAAACCGGCTCGGCCCACCAGGGGCTTTCCCTGCAGAAGCAGGGAACAAGTTTGGGAACCACTGCTTTAGGGAAAAATACTTTCTCCCTCCCTCAGTTATTTTAGCATAATAGGTTCCTCTTCTGAATAGAGTGAAGCAGTTAGACACTTTGCACTGTCTTTTCTCTCTGCTCCATGATGATATGCCAAATTTGCCTCCTAATATTTCTTGATGGGAAATAAAACTGGTAGAACTTAGTGGTCAATGGGAAGTATGTACACATATGCTATATTATCTCTTTGATGGCAGAAATATAATCTGAAAAATTAGGAAACAAGGAATAAAGGAAGAAGTGGTTTTGTTTCCAAGACACGGGGCACAGATGAGAGATCTCGTATTTCCCACTGACTTACAGTAATATCCTGAGCAGGCCATTTTTAATTGCCCTGTGACTCAGTTTCCCCATTAGTAAAATGGAAATAAGGCACTTAATTGTGAAGCTTAATTCATTAATGTTTTCAGACATTCAGCTTGTATATCTGTGAATGCCATAATAATGCCTATAAATAAAATTAATAAAAATGTATCTAGTAAGGTCAAACAAAAGAAGTTAAAGGATCTGATTTGTTTTCAGAAGTTTTATACTATTACTGAAACATATTTAGAGATGTCTTTCCCTCAGTGTCCTCTTGCAGAATGGTTGATACTGTTACTAGCAACAGTTCTACACCTGTATTGATAGAGTTGAACAAATAAAGCATGCAGGGTTTATTCATGGGACAGCAGTACAGTCAGCCCACAGATCAAAGCAGTATTGTCCTAATTCCTGGCACTGAAAGAATAATTATACAGATGTGACTTGTGGGTAGTGCATACAATAGATGTAGACAATACAGTTACTCTTAGAGTAAGAAGCCTACCAGAAACACAATACAGTACAGTATATAACTATCACAGGGTATTGCATTTAGCAAATAAGTAGAGACCAGACATTTAGGGGACAAAGAGTGAGTTTCTTTCAAATGTGGCAACTGTGAAATAATTTAAATATCTGAAAAGAACAGAGGAGAATGTCCCTTAATTCAGTATTTTCTCCTACAGTATTTCCAGTCTCTATTTAAAATATAGGAATTTTAGCTAAACCTTCTCTGCACTCACAGAAACTGAGGACCGATCTGGAAATAAAAGAGTGAATATCTGAGATTTTTGCTGTAACAATTAGAGCAGGACAGATGACTGATTTTTGGGGTGGTGGGGGGAATGCAGAATGCCCAGCAAACCGAAAAATCAGAAAAAATGTTAGATTTGAGTCCAAAAAATTCAGTTCCCTCCTCTGAATCAGGCAGAGAGAAGATTTGCATCCATGTCTTTTATCTCCCAGGTAAGTGCCTTAATCACCGGACTATAGAGTCAAGTTCAGTATCTCACTTTGGCCCACTGAAAATGTAAGTATTTATACAAAGTGGAACAGCTTCAACAGGAGAGATTGAGAGCAACCCATCCACAATAGTCTATAGCCCGGTGGTTAGAGAACTCACTTGGCAAGGGAGGAGACTTGTGTAGAAATCCCTGTTCCAGAATGGCAATTCAAATCTTGGTCTCCCACCTGCCTTGCAAATGCCCTAAATTTGGACTAAATGGACTAAAGGTCATGAGGGACACATGGACAAACACATGCACTCTTTCTGAAACTGGCCCTGTAATCTTTTTCACAGCCAAAATGAACCAGGTCAAATTTATGAATAGTTTCAGGTTGATCCAAACTGCATTTTTGGCTAATAAATTAAAATACATTTCATCCAGATGCAGTACCAGTCCTTCAGTCATGCAAAATTCGTTACTTCTAGATATAAAAATGAGGCTTGTTGATTAAGAGCAGATACCTCACGTGATTAACTCAAAAAAATTAATCGTGATTAAAAAAGTAATCGCGATTAATCGCAGTTTTAATCGCACTGTTAAAACAATATAATACCAATAGAAATTTATTAAATATTTTGGATGTTTTCCTACATTTTCATATATTTTGTATTCTTTGTTGTAATTGAAATTAAAATGTGAATTATTTTTATTACAAATATTTGCACTGTAAAAATGATTTAAAAAAAATAGTATTTTTCAATTCACCTCATACAAGTTCTGTAGTGCAATCTCTTTGTCGTGAAAGTGCAAGTTACAAATTTAGGGTTTTTTTGTTACTTAACTGCACTCAAAACCAAAACAATGTAAAACTTCAGAGCCTATAAGTCCACTCAGTCCTACTTCTTGTTCAGTCAATCGCTAAGACAAACAAGTTTGTTTACATTTACAGGAAATAATCCTGCCCTCTTCTTATTTACAGTGTCACCAGACAGTGAGAACAGGCGTTCACATGGCACTTTTGTAGCTGGCATTGCAGCATATTTACGTGCCAGATATGCTAAACATCCATATGCCCCTTCATGCTTCGGCCACCATTCCAGATGACATGCTTCCATGCTTATGACACTTGTTAAATTCAATTAACGCATTTTTTTTTTGTGATTGAATTCCTTGGGGGAGAATTGTATGTCCCCTGCTCTGTTTTACCCACATTCTGCCATATATTTCATGTTATAGTAGTCCCGGATGATGACCCAGCACATGTTGTTCATTTTAAGAACACTTTCACTGCAGATTTCACAAAACACAAAGAAGGTACCAATGTGAGATTTCTAAAGATAGCTACAGCACTCAACCCAAGGTTTAAAAATCTGAAGTGCCTTCCAAAATCTGAGAGGGACGAGGTGTGGAGCATGCTTTCTGAAGTCTGAGAAGAGCTACACTCTGGTGAGGAAACTACAAAACCCAAACCACCAAAAAAGAAAATCAACCTTCTGCTGATGGCATCTGACTCAGAAAATGAAAATGAACGTGCATCAGTCCGCACTGCTTTGGATTGTTATTGAGCAGAACCAGTCATCAGCATGGACCCATGTCCCCTGGAATGGTGGTTGAAGCATGAAGGGATATGTTAATCTTTTGCACATCTGGCGCATAAATATCTTGCGACACCAGCTACAACAGTACCATGAGAAAGCCTGTTCTCACTTTCAGGTGACGATGTAAACGAGAAGCAGGCAGCATTATCTCCTGCAAATGTAAACAAAATTGTTTGTCTGAGCAATTGGCTGAACAAGAAGTAGGACTGAGTGGACTTGCAGACTCTAAAATTTTACATTGTTTTATTTTTGAATGAAGGTTTTTTTTCACATAATTCTACATTTGTAAGTTCAGCTTTCAGGATAAAGAGATTGCACGACAGTACTTGTATTAGGTGAATTGAAAAATACTATTTTGTTTTTTTACAGTGCAAATACTTGAAATAAAAAATAAATATAAAGTGAGCACTGTACAGTTTGTATTTTGTGTTGTAATTTAAATCAATATATTTGAAAATGTACAAAACATTAAAAAAATTAAATAAATGGTATTCTGTTATTGTTTAGCAGTGCGATTAATTGCGATTAATTTTTTAAATTGCTTGACAGCCCTAATAAAAAAATAAGCAAAGTATTTTTCTGAGCCAAACTAGTTCTAAGATATGCCTCCTTTTATTAAAATAAGCCACATTCAAAACAGAGACCAAGAGGAAGAGTCTTTTGAAATACAAGTTTGAATTACTAGCATTATACCACCAAAGGAGAAGAAGGCTGAAAGCCAGATGATGGTATATTATTCCTGTGGAAAATTTTATAGATGGCCTTTAATTGGATATTTAAACTCGGAAGAGTTATAATGTAGACAAAAGAAGCTTTTTTTCATCCCACTTATTTTTATTTAATACAAATCCAAAACAAAGGGAAACCAGGGGTCAAAATAAATAAATGGAGTCAATTCTCCATTGGGACAAATAATATGGAAGAGTATGGGGAAAAGTGGTTGCTGATACAATATATATATATAAGCGAGGCCCCCCCCGAAATGGTCAAGAATTATTCAGTCAAAATACTGTTTGACCTAAAAAATAATAATAATTTTGGTGGATCTCCGTTGGAAGGAACAATCAAGAATCCTTAACCAACAGTTCCTGCTTCCAGATGGGTCCTGAGTTGAAATTATGGTCTCACAGCAGACATACCCTAATACTTGTTGGGCAAGAATATGGATCAAAAGGCTTGAGTACTTAAAGCCTAGATTATGTAGGGCTTTATAGACTAATACTAAGAGAAGGGGTTAATTTACACACTTCATAAATGTTCGAACAGCACATATTTTTGCTGTAGAACATGTTAACATATGTCTTCACCCATGTTGGAACTCTTTTACCTTTATAAAAACACTTATTAAACAGCCTTGAAGCAAAATTTACAACCATGTATAACAGCCAGTGCTACATGGTAATCAACACAGAAGATAATTCCCCCATCAGTTAGTCAAAAATTCCAAAATCAACAGTTTCCTAACTGTACTCTGTAAGTCACTGATGGTGTGTGGAGCACTTTCTTTTCCACTTTAAACAATTGCCGTAGTTGCCCAGGGAAGTTGTGTGATAGTGAAGGTGAGGGGAGGTGTCATTATGAAAGGAAGGGAGATTGTCCATGGCACTAGTGAGAAGTGGTCCACATTTTGGCAAATGTGAGAACTCCATTCTTGAACCCCCTCAAAAAACATTTTCAAAAAACAAGCAAAGATTCTTGGCTTGTGTGGGCTATTTAGCAGCATAAAAGTAGCTATAGGGCAGTGATCTCCAACCTTTTTATGCCTAAGATCACTTTTTGAATTTAAGGACAACCCAGGAAGTTCGGAAGTGGGTGCAGGCTCTGGGCTGGGGCCGAGGGGTTCGCAGTGTGGGAGGGAGCTCTGGGAGGAGCCTGGGGCAA